GATGGATGGATGGATGGATGGATGGATGGATGGATGGATGGATGGTTGGATAGATGGTTGGATGGGTGAATGGGTGGGTGGGTGGGTGGGTGGGTGGATAGATGGATGGAGGGATTGATGCAAGGATGGATTGATGGATGGATGGACGGTTGGACCGATAGTCAGAAAACAGATGGCCGGATGCATGAGGAGGCCACGGCCTTGCAAAGGTGTGTGCACCAATCAACTATCATCGTGTGCTGTGATGATGTGGTGGAAGATGGAATGTCCAATTCTCTCCTTATCCTATGCTCTCCATTTTCCCCTTTCTTGGCTGAATGGTGTTGTTGGGCCAATGCTCAAGTTGATGTCATGGTCGCATCATGCTAATGTCATGGTTGCATCATGCTGATGTCATGGTTGCATCTTGCTGATGTCATGCTTGTATGATGATGATGTCTTGAGCTTAGGGTAACATTCAAGCTGACGCCATGCTGATCTTGCGTTTGTTGCAATGTGAGGGTTGGATGGAGAGATGATATTGCTGATGGGCCTCACATGCATTTTGAGCTGACTCAAAACACACCTATTGTTACGGGCATCACAATGGCTAGTTCGCTAAAGTGGAACCGATGCATACATGCGTGCATGCATGCAGAAACCTTGGAGACAACCAGCTCAGTGGCTCCATCCCTGCAAACCTCGATTCGCTTTGGAACTTAATGCGCCTATGAGTATGGAATCTGGGAGTGAGTGTTGTGCGCTCTGTCTGTATCACAGTAGCTTCATGGATGGGTGCATTGGCGCCAATTCCCCTTCTGACTCTGCCTTTTTTATAGTATTGCAAAGGCTCTCACTAACTTCACAAGCACTCACTCTTCTCATACATTTTGTCGCTTAACTTAGACCTTGTTTCACACATAATTGGAATCTCGTTTCACATGTGTACCGTACATATACCACCTCGCATGCCACATCACGTACTACCTCTTGTATCACCTCCTGTACCACCTCCCATATGATCTCCCGTACCACCTCCCATACCACCTCCCATACCATCTCCCGTACCACCTCCCATACCATCTCCCATACCATCTCCCATAACATCTCCCATACCATCTCCCATACCATCTCCCATACCACCTCCTGTACCACCACCTCACGTGCTACCTCCCGTACCACCTCCGGTGCCACCTCACGCATCTTTTCTCCCTTGTTTCCATAGATGATATCTCCAAGTGATGACTGCACTATCTTTTTGTTTCATAAGTAAATTACCTATCAAGCCATGTCACAGTCTGTTTATCCATGACACCACCGTAATTTCCTCCTACCACCAGACCCCCCCCCCCCCCCCCCCCCCCCCTTTTTTTTTTTTTTTTTTTTTTTCATAGGATTCTCTCTCCGTCCATCAATCCTCTATTTTGTTGTTCTTTCTTTCCAGTAATTCCCGTTTTCCTTTCCTCTGCCCATGTTTCTCTTTGTGACCTCGCCATCTCCTTATCTGACGTCCCTCACACTTCCTCTCCTCCCTAACCATCCTTCCATTTTACCCTCTCCCTCCCTATCCATCCACCCATCCCCTTCGATATCCGATTGCCTATGTACAACCCCCCTCTCTTGCTTGCATCACCGTCACCCGTCTCTCACTGACTCACTCACGCGTTGCTCTCTGTCTCCCATATGGCATCAGTCGGCTGAACAACAACCAGCTCTCAGGCTCCATTCCAGACAGCATGATGACACTCATGATCAACCTTAAAGTCCTGTAACAACACAACACCTCCTTCAGCCATGTGATTAGACGAGTAGCAATCATGATCAAAACACCTCCGTTGTTTTTGCCTGGATACCTTTGCCACTCCCACCCCGCTCCAAAATCTTGGATTACAACACACGTGTCTCTTCACTTCACTTGTATGCATCCCATATCTGTATCCCTTCACCTCGTGCCTCTTCACCTTCTCCCCTTCACCCTATATCTCTTTACCCCAACCCCATCACCTCCATCCATCCTTAGCCACTGGCCACCACAGCTTCTTCTCCCCCACTCCTATCCGCCTCTGCAGTCTCATATCAAGTTTACCAACTCCTTTAGGAATTGATCACTATAGATCACTATTCCATAGCTCACTATTTGCCGCCTAACTCCCGTTTTCTCGATTCCTGCCCTCTCCCCTCCCTTCGTCCCCTCCAACAAGATCACAGGTACCTTTGAGTTGACAAAAAGGTTCATCTCTCCTCCCGTTTCACCATCTGCACAGGAACCTGGGAAAGAATAAGCTGACAGGCCCCCTCCCAGTATACTTCGCCAACCCTGGTGTTCTGGATGAGATGTGAGGAGATAAAGAGAGGTATTGTTATAGGACTTTATGGTTGATCATGATTGAGAGTGTGTTCTCTGAAAGTAGGGTTACATCGTACAGAACGGGACAACAATGTACGCCGCTCACATCATGCTGACGACACCGCTGACATCATGTTGATGACATAGTTGCATCATGCTGACGACATGGTTGCATCATGCTGACGACATGGTTGCATCATGCTGACAACATCGTCGCATCATGCTGACGACATGGTTGCATCATGCTGATGACGCTCTTGGGTTCAGGGTGACATCAAGCTGACGCCATGCTGATCTCGCTTTTGTTACAATCGATGTTGGAATAATGCTTGCTTATTCTTGACGGGTCCTGCATGTGTTTTGAGGCAACTCAAAACGCACCTGTTGTTGGCGCGTCTCAGTGGCTGATTGCGTGGGAATCATGCAGTTGTGCGTGCATGCATGCAGGAACCTCGGAGACAACCAGCTCAGTGGCCCCATCCCTGCAAACTACAATATACTTAGTGGCTTGATACGCCTGTGAGTGTAGCACCTACCTAGGGGTGAGTATTGTGTGCCCTGTACGTCAATGCGATCTTTCAACTACCTCATCCGTTTATGACTTTACAGCAACCTGCTTCTCTGGCACTCACTCCTCTCACTATGTTTTTGTTAACCTTGAATAAAATCTTGATGTGTATAACCTTGATTAATACATCATTGCCATCTCACATCACATGTATGCTGCACACGTACCACCCGCTCTTCCACCATTCTCCCTCCCTCCCTCCCTCCCTCCCTCCCTCCCTCCCTCCCTCCCTCCCTCCCTCCTTCCCTCCCTCCCTCATTCCCTCCCTCCTTCCCTCCCTCCCTCCCTCCCCTTTCCCCCAACACACATGGCGCCAGGCAGCTGAACGACAACCAGCTCGCTGAGTCCATTCCAGAGGACGTGCTTTCAGTCATGACCAACCTTAAACACCTGTAAAAACACTTCCTTCCCAACTAATTTGCCGTCCCATGCTGCAAACCTCTGACTTTTGAGTCGACTCAGAAGTTCCGACTTACATCTGTTCCATGCTGTGGTTACAAGTTGAAACTGGATGCCTCACAGGAGTCTCGTTCTATGTTGTGTCAAATTGGGATTAAATCAGCATCACAGGAGTTCAATTTTGCCACTCCCACCCCTTCCAAGGAGCCTCTGTATTCCCTTGTTTGCAACCAGATTCAATTCCCTGACCTCCCCACATTCCCCTGAAACCTCTCCTCGCTTTAACTCACGTGCCTCTCAAACCCTACTCAACCCCTTTCTCCTCAGTTCTCGTCTTCCACTCCCCGCTCTCTTGCTCTACATCCATCTTCTCAATGGTTCCATTCCCTGGAAAATCAGCAGGTTGCAAATTTTGAGACGTCTCAAAAGCCCTCTCCTCTAACCCCTGTCTACTTTCCGCTCTCTTCCTCTCCATCCATGTCAGTCTTCTCAATGGCAACCAGTTTACGGGTTCCATTCCTGGCAAGATCAGCAGGCTGCAGCTTCTTTCAGAACTGTATGGCTCTGACACCACCTCATCCATACCCATATGGTCCACAACTATACCCATACCCATACCCATACCCATACCCATACCCATACCCATACCCATACCCATACCCATACCCATACCCATACCGATACCCATACCGATACCGATACCGATACCCATACCGATACCGATACCCATACCCATACCCATACCCATACCCCCATACCCATACCCATACCCATAACCATACCCATACCCATACCCTTACCCGTACCTATACCCATTTCCATACCCATACCATACCCATACCCATACCCATACCCATACCCATACCCATACCCATACCCATACCCATACCCATACCCATACCCATACTCATACCCATACCCATAACCATACACATACCCATACGGTCATACCCTTACCCACACCCATACCCATAACCATACTCATACCTTGAATCATACCCATACCTATACTCCCATACCCATGTCCATACCCCCGTACGGGCCGTACCTATACCCAAAACCATATCCATACCCAAAACCATACACATACCCATACTCCTACCCTACCCATACGAGTAACCATACCCATACTTATAACCATACCCATACCCATGATTATGCCCATGCCCATACCCAACCCATATCTTATAATGAAGAACATGAGGCTAACGTAGAGATGTTCCCCTAAACCACTCTCGAACACAACCATGTTCGTCTCAACCACTTGCTTTGTGCGGTAAAGCAAGAATGCTCCATCCAAGGGGCTTGACCTTCCTTGCCTGCTTGTCAGGTCCGTGGGCAACAACCTCATGACAAACACAGTACCGGTTTTAACCGCACTTACTGATCTATACTATTTGTGAGCACACTCCTTCACCAGTCTCTAATATCTTGAGAACAATCACCAATCTTTGAAATTTGTGAGCACAATCACCAATCTTTGCAATCTGTGAGCACAGTCACCAATCTCTGCAATCTGTGAGCACTCCTCTTTGCTGCAGCACCCTGCTGTGCTGTGGCCACATGATATGCCATGCCATGTCATGTGATGCCTTGCCTTGTCATGCCATGCAATGCCACGTTTTCCAGTGCCATGCCTTACCATGCCATGCCATGCCAATCCGTTCCATGCCATGCCTTGCCATGCCATGCCATGCATCCTGCTCCATGCTAGACACTAGCCCTTCCCTACCGTTCCCTACCCCTTGTCACCCCTCTTCCACCTCCCGTTCATCTCTGCACCCTGTCTGCCTCCATCTGCCAGCTGCCACCCCAAACATTCGCCCTCCACCCATTCTTGCCGCCCCCTTAGTTCTTGCCACCCGCTTCTTTCTTGCTGCCTGCTTCGTTCTTGCCGTCCGCTTCTTTCTTGCCGTCCGCTTCTTTCTTGCCGTCCGCTTCTTTCTTGCCGTCCGCTTCTAACTTGCTGCCCGCTTCGTCAGCCCAAAACACCTTTCCATCCTTCAGCAACCACTGTGGTGGCTGCTCTCCCTTGGTTCTCTCCTCTTCTCTCCTTTGCCGTGTAAATGATTCAAATCCAAATTCCTCCTTCCCTCCTGCCATTTTTTGCACCACACCCCATGTTGATACTCCTTCCCTCTGCCATTTCTTGCACCACACCCGATGTTAATATTGTTGTCAATACCAGAGACTTGGGAAAGACAGCTTTACAGGACCTATTTCCTCAGATCTAGCCAATCTGAAAAAATTGCAATACTTGTAAGTTTACCAATCGCACAGCACTTCCTCCCGTCACCAATACAGGACTCCCATCACCTCTAGTCCGCTCCCATCACCTCTCGTGCACTCCTATCACCTCCAGTGCACTCCCATAACCCCCAGTGCACTTTTGTCGGTCTCCCTCCCGCGTTGCCTCCATCAACCTTTCAGTCTGTCCATTCCACAGTTCTGTGGCTACTGCATTCCCCCTAGTACGGTGTGCCCGTGTTAACAGTGCATGGTAGTTTCTGTTCCCTCCATGCCTTTTCTGATTTGTCTTCTCTAGTAAAAAACCAGTTAAATTGTTGCAAGCATGGTAAAGCTGACCATACTGTAAACTCAATTGTCTCCCTGCATTCATTTCCAGAACCATTCGGATCAGTGCTTGCCCCTTTCTCCCCCATGCAGGTACCTTAATGATAACAAGTTTTCTGGATCTTTCCCCTTTGAGCTAGTTGTGCTGACAAACCTCAAGGAAGTGTGAGTCAAACGACTTACCCATGGCCGGTGGTAATGCTGCTGAGAGGCAGAGCAGAGAGGCAAACAGAAAGGCAGAGCAAAACGGCAGAGCAGAGAGTAAGACAGAGAGGCAGAGCAGAGAGGCGGAGCATTGGCTGCAGGGATGCTGACCATGCAAGGTAAAGCTGCCCACCTTCTTTTTGAATTCTTCCACTTTTCCCCCTTTCTTTTCTGTAGCGATGTCGCCCTCTCTCTTCTCGCTCTTCGCCCTCTCTCTTCTCGCTCTTCGCCCTCTCTCTTCTCGCTCTTCGCCCTCTCTCTTCTCACTCTTCGCCCTCTCTCTTCTCACTCTTCGCCCTCTCTCTTCTCGCTCTTCGCCCTCTCTCTTCTCGCTCTTTGCCCTCTCTCTTCTCGCTCTTCGCCCTCTCTCTTCTCACTCTTCGCCCTCTCTCTTCTCGCTCTTCGCCCTCTCTCTTCTCGCTCTTCGCCCTCTCTCTTCTCACTCTTCGCCCTCTCTCTTCTCGCTCTTCGCCCTCTCTCTTCCCCGTCCCACTACCCCATCCTTCTCCTCTAGCAACCCACCAACCTCTGCTACCGTCTCCAGCCTCTCTCTCATCTTTCATCCTGCCATCTGTTGCACCAACTTCTTGTGCCCCATAGGCTACCAGCCAGCAACCACCTGTCAGTTTTAATCTAACAATTTTCCTTTCCTGCTTACATAAACCTACAACCAGCATTGCTCCTCCCTGTGCTCTAGTGATTTGCTCCCTCGCCAATGTTTGAGTGCAGAGGAGAGCAGATCACCAATTCACTACAAGATCTTCTCTGGTACTTTACTTCAACGCCATCCCTCCACAGGACAATCGCCAACAACCTTCTAATGTCAGGCGGCGTGAACGTGACTTTTGAGGCGCCTCTAAAGTGCTAATCTACTTCAACGCCTTTCCTCCACAGGTCTATCGCCAACAACCTCCTAATGTCAGGCGGCGTGAATGCTCTAATATCTACCCTCGCTACCGTCAGTGTGCTGTGAGTTTGCTCTTTCTTTGGCTCTCTCCACTCATACACCTCGCTCACTCACTGGATGCTGTATGGCGGCTCGTGGTCCATACTGATGGGCAGGAAGGACGAAGGGTTCTAGTGGAATTGGGGTGGGAGCTGGTGCACGAAAGTTAGTGACTTGTCGGTCCATTCTGCTTTTGTCTGTCACTGGTGTCCAGTGCGGTGCAGTGCTCTACTATGTGGTGATCTGCTCTCCTCTGCTCTGGTTTGCTTAACTTCCTCTATCAAATGTATGAAGCAAGCCAGCATAGCATAATTCCATCAGTGGACAAGTTTAGCTCCATACCGACCTATCCATCTCACTCTTCCCTTTTTCCTCCCTTCCCTGATCTAACCCCCCATCTCACCCTCCCATGAGTTCTTATCCATCCCCGCCCAATTTTATATCTGTCGCCCTTTCCCCCTTCCGCCCCTCTCCACTACCTCATGTGCTTGCCCTGTTATTCGAGATGTTTCAAGGTGACTCACAATTTTGCACTATCTTCCTTCCTTCCCTCTCCTTGCCTCTCTGCCTCATTCCACCAGCGACATCTCAAGAACCTCATATACCGGATCACTTCCAACAAAAATAAGGGACCTCACCGGACTGCAAGTGCTGTGCATTTACAGAATCACTTCATAATGAATAATCGTTCACAATGCACACCACCATCAGACATAAAATTTCCACAAGCAGAAGTAGCACCAGCATGAGCACCAGCACCAACAGCACCGGCACCAACAGCATCGGCATCAACAGCACTGGCACCAACAGCAACAGCACCAGCAGGAGCAACACCACCAGCACCACCACAATTCCGCCAGCGCAGCATTTAATATCTCAACGTGCTTGCACACTTTTTCTCTTTTCATCTGTAATGCTGTATCATCTTCTCCTACTTCTGCTGTGTTCTCTCTTAGGCACATCATGACAAGAGTGGGCTATAACCTAACCACCACTGATATTTCTAGTCATAAACAAAACCCGATTCTTGACCTATCGCTGCATTGGAACCTGTCACTGCTCTTCTGCCTTTTCTCTAAACCCCTCAAACCCTCACAATCTCCCTAACATTGTGCCAATGCACTTCTTCCAACTCAATCTCCCTTTTCCTTGCCCTCGCCTCAGTCGTATGGCTGGAGTGGACATGAACAATGTGCTTCCCATGGAAATCACTACCCTCACCAGCCTTTCTGTTCTGTAAGCGCTTCACTAACCCCTCCTACCAGATAAACATGAGCACGGGTTGACAACCCAAACTTTTGAGACGTCTCAAAAGCCCTTTTCATTCTGTAAGCGCTTCACTAACCTCCCCTACCAAATCGACATGAGCAGCTGGTTGACCCAGCCCAAGCATCCTGGATCTGCTCAAGCCGGGTTGGTTCAGATTGACTTGAACCAGGTCAAGTCGGTCCGAGGATGCTCCCAACATAGGGTTGGGGCTGGTTGGGAGATAGGGTTGGGGCTGGTTGGGAGATAGGGTCGGGGCTGGTTGGGAGATAGGGTTGGGGCTGGTCAGGACCCAACCTGACCCAACTGGTCTGAGGATTCTCCCGACATGACCCAGCTTAGGAGGCGCTGGTTGGGCCGGCAGGTACCCAGGGTCAGGTTAGGTCAGGTTGGGTCGGGTCAAACCACTAGCAAATCCCAACCCGAGAGTTGGCTTGGGTCAACCTGGACAGGGGTGAATCACACAAGAGGAGAGGCCCAACCCGGCCGGAGTGGACCTGACTCTCTACCAACAAGCGAACACTGTCTACAAAGGTGAGCTTTGAGTCATTCAAATGCGCCTCTCCAGCCTCTCCCTGCCACGCTCACTCCTTCCACCACCAAACCCTGTATTCCGAGGGGGCTTCAGCTGCATGGCATGGCGTGACATGGTGTGGTTGCCAAACAGCTCTTCTCTACTATGAATAGAACATAGGATATGAAATAATGTATAATTTCAGTAAGATCTCAGGATAATTCATTTGTAGGAACACACATATTCCCTCTAAAATTTATGTTGTGGTAACCAGAGACAAGGTCACCTGAAACTCGTGCACTTTTGTGAATTTAAACAAGGTTTGAAACCTCAAAACATGTATACATACAATTTAAGTATGTGAAGTTATCATACGATATGAGTCTTATAGGGGATTATGATATTACGAAGTGGTGCAATCTTTCAGATTGGAAACGTTGGTTGTAGAAAATATTAAACGGACGACAGTAAGTACCAATAACAGTTTTAGGAGGAAACCAATTCGGGTGGAAAACAAGCCTGTTTTCTTCAGTAGCATGGCCATTTGTTGAAGTATGACAAGATGGCTGCTGAAAAGATTGCTGATGCACCAGGAGATGATGTGAAGCGTGCTTCAGCTCACAGTATCAATTGGGACATAATGGAAAAATGAAGCCTATAAATATTATATATTTTGTACACTTTTTTTCCCCACCTTGGCCATTGGCAGCGACCTTAGTGAGACTCGAACTTTGGGACCGCTGCCAGATCCTCTCAGCACCTTGGTTAGCCTCCGATACCTGTAAGTGCTGCTTCCATCCAGCCTTCCTCCTCCTCCCTCCCTCCTCTCTATGTCCTCCCTTCACTCCTCCTTCCTCCTCCCTTCCCCCCTCCTCATTTTCCTCCTTCTGCCCTCCTCCCTTCAATCTTTCTTCCTCTTCTCTCCCTCCTCACTCCCTTCTCTTTCCATGTTTTCCACCTGTTCTTCCTTCCTTCCTCAGCATACTAGTGTCACTTTTAAGATTTATCAAGCGCCACTACTATTTGTATCAGCGTCACATACCCACGATTCTCTCCCTTTGCCCATCTTTCACCCCACCCCTCCTCTCCCCTCTCACCTTCTTCCCCTCCCCCTTCCCCTTTCCCCTCTCATATCCTCTTTGCAATGTGGCTACTGAGCTTGATTCTCCACACCTATGCATGCAGCTCCATGCCTGGTTAGACTAAGAATATCCACTTGGCTTGGCTGTTACTTGTTTTTTCTGTAATTACATCCGTAAAATGATACATGCATCCATCGCTTCCTATATTGACCAATCCTTCACGTACACTTCCTAAAACCCCTGACGTACCTCGCTACTTAACTATGCAACTTTAGTTATCCATCTTTGCCACTCTTACTTCCCTTGTCCAACCAGCAACCTGAGTGACAACACTATCGCAGGTTTCATTGATCCAATCTCCACCCTCACAACCCTCTCCTATCTGTAAGCGCTTGCTTTAGTCATATGCTTGATTATATTGATTTAAATAGAAAGAACTCAGCCTTGGGTACAAACAAGATAGGGTTGACAAGGGATGGAAAAGGATGGGAAGGAAATCCAACCTGATCACCAATGGTGAGCTGGCAGATTGTGAAATCCCAACTGGATAAGGTTGGGATAGCAAAATTACACCTAAACTACAAATAATCCTAGTTGGTACAGAATAAGGTACAGATATATAGCAGTTTTTTCTTAATGATTCCACTCACTACAGTCAGCTCTGTAGCACAGCACTGCACATCTTTACCACTCACTGCATCTTGTCTCATGTCACCGAATATGCACGGTTGTGCGTATAAGGTGCCAGTGTTGTTGCAGTGTAGTGCTGGTGTAGCAATGTTCTGTATGCAGATTCGAGGATAGGTAGGTGGGGGCTGGGAAATTGATGCGAGGTTGGTAGGAGAGTACCGAGGGGTGAAATCCACGCAACCAATGTGAACGAACCAACCCAGGCTCGAGCCGCACATTGAGAAATGCACGGTTCGAGCTTGGGCCAGAAATTCACTCTCTCACACACACCCGATGCTTTCCAATTGTTATCCTTTCGTACAGTGGATTGTTGTTGCCTTAGCACTGCAGACAGGTGGCACACCACTCGAAGAGGACCTTTGAGGTGAGAGTTCCATTACTTTCATAACAATTGGAAAGATGTGCGCGTACAAGCATGGATGTGTACGAGCTGCGTTACGGCATGAACTACGGTCGCCGTGAGGAGGATCGCTCGCGGCGCGAACGCTCACGTGAGCACGGGCGTTTGTTGGAGAGGTCGCCGCGTCGGCCTGAGCGATCGCCGCGGAGGCCGGCCTTTCGCGCGGATCAGGTCCCTCTCGAGCCAGATTGCCAGGAGGGAGGATCCGCTCGAGAAGGAAGGGGCGGATCTGGATCCGCCACGATGGGGAGTGTCCCGTGGCGGACGGACGGGCGCCACGGAGCTGATGGCGGTCATGGGTACCGCCAGGACACGTGAGCATACCGCTCGCCGGAGGAAGGCTATCGCCGTCGCGAAGATCGAAGTCGCGGGCGAGGTCTGGAGGAGCTCTTCTCTGGTCGCCAGGGCGATCTTGATGTGGATGGAGAAGACGAGGCCGACACGGCGAATCAAGTGCGGGAGACGAATCGCGAAGGCGAGACCAAGGGCGATGAGGAATCCCAGGAGGAAGGCGCAGGCGAGCAGCGCGAGATGCCCGCTGGAGTCAACGACGACGATCCCGCGCATGCGGGCGTGGCGGCGGAGCTAAGCACAGCGGAGGCGGACGGAAAGGGCG